TCTTCCCCAGTCGCATTTTGAGTGCCTTCCAACCTGAGGGGCTCATTTTCCGGCACTGTATCTGGCAGTGTTTCTCTGCTATTCATAAGGTTTTCAGTGACTAATATTCGGAAGTAGTTCGTCACTCCTTCTTCCTAGTCTCTTTATCTGGAAGCTCATCTGAAACCTGCCCACCATGGGTGACCTACTGGTATTTAAAATACCGGTGGCATAGCTTTCAGAATCACAGCAACTCACAAGCCACCACAGTACGAGAAACTGACTGACGAGTGGTGGGAGTGTCATTGTAGTGTTCCCCAATACCTGTGTGTGTCGTATCCACCACCACCACCCATGTTCTGGGGTCCTGGGCAGCTTATCCCTCGCGTGGCCTGGTTGGGTCCAGGGCATTCTCAGAACAGGATATCAAGTGCTGGGTCAGGCCCCACCTCTCCCATCCCACGGCTCTTCCTTTTCCTGAGCCCAACTCAGTTCTTGAACTCACCAGTCCTTTCCCCTGAATTTTTTGGTTTCTATGGAAATCAAATGATGCAAGTAGCTATGAAAGAGCATTGCCCTGGCTCCATCTCTCTATAGGGACCTCTCCTCACCCCTCGAGGGCCTGCTGGTCAGGGTGTCCTGCTATCTGGGGACCCATAGCAGCTCCCTGGCTAATATAAACCCCACCCCACAGCCTCACTCCCACTCACTGATGCTCCAGGCCAGGCTGACCTGATCTGACCCTGGGTCGGCCACCATTTATGACCATGGTGAGATCCACACTCAGGCACTTCATGCCACATGGGCAGGTCCCTGACCAATGCCATGGAGTCCTTAGGGGCCAGCCCTGTAGTTATTTCATCCCGCAGGCCCTGCCTCACAGCCTTGTTCTCAAACTTTCCATGGCTCCCTATGACCTTCAACTCATGCCCACAGGTCCTCTCACCCTCCCTCCCTGTCTAGCCACCCCAGCCCCTGGTGGCCCTTCCCACTGTCCCAGAGCATATACATGGCTGTGTTTCCCCCATGCCACTCTTCTCCCGACTCACCCCATGCCAGCCTCCTTCCTGCCTCTGGTTCAGGTACTTGCACCCTTCCTGCCCCCCTGAGCTCTCAGCTCAGCACCCTGTGTGTTTTCAGACTATGACCCCCGCTGAGATGGCTGTGTGTGTCCTTTTCTGTGTGTTTGCCCCTCCCCCGCCCCTCCTTGTGGGCTGGTAGCCCAGTGGGGCAGAGCTGATCTGCCCCATGTACCCAAGGTATTTTTTGAGTACCCCAGAGTAAATTAACCAGCCTGAGGGGGTGGAAGGACAGCCTCTGCCCAGCTCTCCAGTTGGCTCTCAGCCAGCATACTCCTGGGGCCCTTGGCTGCTCCTCCAGGGAGGGGAAGCTGGATTATCAGTTCTTTCCACCTTAGCCTGAGGAAGTGGGTGTGTCTGGGTGCTGGCCCAACTTGTGATCCCACACTGCAGACCCTGGTGGAGGAAAAACTGCCAGGGATCCATTCTGACCCTTGGAGCCTCAGGAGTGCCATGACTTCGGTCATTGATGGCTTTGGTGCTGAGAGGAAACAGATGAAGACAGCACACCTGGTGCAACCAAGTTTCTGCTGCTCTACAGTACTGGACAAGTGACCACACTTCTCTGAGCTCTGCCAGAACCCTCTTAGGCAGCTTCCGGGAGTAAAGCCTGTCACTTCTCCCTGCAAAGAGGCTAGCCTCACCTCAAGTGGCTTGGTCTATCTGGGTGACCAAGCCCTGTTGCTGGCCCATAGCATCCCGTCAGGTGACTCCTGGGGTCCGGCACCTAACCCAGCATAGCTAAAGTTCCTACAGAGGGCAGGATCATTGCTGTTGCCAAGAGACACTGCCTGCCACCCCTGGAAGGGAAGTTACCAGGCACCAACCAGCATGCTGATAAATGGACTGAAGCCAGAGCTCAGTGTACTGACCTCTGCTTCAGTTGGCATTGTCCTTGAGTACTGTGAGAACTGCTGAGAGCTGGCTGTCCCCATCTAGGCTGGCAGGAGGTGCCAGAGATGTCGCCTCCAACACAGAGACCTCCCTTCCCAGTCAAAAGCCTCTTACAGGGTTGGTCTGTGTTTCATTCCATGAGGTGCAAGTTACAGAGAAAAACTCAAGACCCAGAGAAGAGCAAATGGAAGAATGTATCATTCAGCAACATTCCAGATGCTCCCTGTGGACTGCCTTGGTCATGACGTTTGACACCTGGGAGGTATCTGGGGAAATTGAGGCAGAGTTTGAATCACTTGCTGAAGATCACGTAGCCAGAAAGTTAAAAAAAAAAAAAAACCAGACTCATCGGGTGCTGGGCCTTGCCACTGGGGAACACTCACCATGAAGTCTGTTTTCTCAGCTGCAACGTAAATCCATCATGCACTGCCCCTACCAAGCCAGGTCCGAAGATGGTATCGGGAAGAGCCCAGCCGGATAACAAATTGCCAGCTTCCTCCTCTCCTCCCTTCAGGGCTTGGACGACCCCTGGGGATTCACTGATAGCTGTGTCTCTGCTATCTCTGTTGGACTGTCCACTGGGAAGCAGGGGACAACTGGAGACCCAGGAGACAAGGCCAGGTGGGGACACCAGGACTCAAAACTAATGTTAAGAGCTGAGGGCCTGTGAGAAACTTGGGTGGGGCACAATCAGAGTTACATGGTCCCCCAAGGTGGGAGCTCTGCACCAGAGGATGTCAAAAAGTTCATGTGAAAATTAAGTTAAAAGATAAACCCAAAATAAGTCCCCTACCCTGCAGCTTTGTATTGCTTCCTCCCAGGGTTCTCTGGCTCTGAACTTGATCGCCACCAGTCCCAGCCTCACTTGGGAAATAAGAGCTGCTCCTATCTAGGAACATTTGTAACCCTCTCTCGGCTCTGGAGCTTAAAAGTACCCTTGATGAGTCAGCGAGGGGAGTGGGCTAGAAAAGACCAAATGGCTGGCTGGGCACTGGGCAGCAGGCGTCCTTGAACTCCCCTGGGTGGAAGCTGAGCATGCAACCCAGGGTCACATGCTCCCATCAGAAGGTACTTTCTCTGGGAGCTGCCCTTGAGTAGAGAGATCAAGATGGAGTTCCATTTTCCAGGGAGAAACCTGAGAGTCAGGACTGAACAGACTCCCACTTGGCTGTTCTGACAGCCTCTCCCCTTCCAAAAGACAGGTGTGCTAGGTTCACAGGCAGGCCCAACCGTGGGCGTCCTGTGTGACCCCAGGCAAGCCCCTTGACCTCTCTGGGACACTTGTCTACAATAGGGTCCATGGTGGCCTTGGCCGTATGGAGTTGGGCTTAGTGAATGCACTAAAAGCTAAGCGGTGAGGAGGCTGGTGGGGACGTCATTCCCCGCGGAGGGGGCTAAGACTCCATGGGACCAGACCCTTTCAGAGATCCACTCTGCAAGGGTGAACTTCCGCCTCCAGCCCCAGGGTCCTCACAAGGATCCAGGTTACACGTGCACCTGTGCGGGCCGTTTGCTGGGCAGCAGCAGCGATTGCCATGTCGGTACGCGATGGGGCCCACTCCTTGTTGCACAGTCTAGAGACTGCACCTTGCACGTCCCCCTTGCCATTGGTCCCCGCACCCGTTCGTCTCGGCGTCTGAACCAATCCGAGCTACCCCCCAGGCTACGCCCTCCATTCCTGCGCTTCGATCTGCGGAGCACACTAATGCACTCGAGGTCCCGCCCCCGAACCTCAGCAATTGGTAGCCGGAGATGCCCGTCGCCATTATGACCACCAATCCTCGTCCCCCTCCAGACATTTGCCTCCCAGAGCCTCGCACCCCTTGGGACTTCAAGGCACCCAGAGTTTCTCCCAGTGGCCGCCTTCGCCCCGTGGCGATTGGCCACAAAAGTTGCCCCTCCGCCTGGAACCCGCCAACCCCTACCGCCCCCTCCTCTAATTGGTCAGGGAGCGACCAATCGGGACGCGGCGTGGCCCCCTCCCTTGGCGCGCGCGCTGGGGGTACGCTAGGCGGGACTGAGGAGCCTGGAGGTGGTGGTGGCGGCGCGTCGCATCGCGTCCCGGCCGGTGAGAGGCGCGAGGCGGGCTGGGCTGGGGACGCGGGTCTGGTCGGGTTGGGGACATGGGCCCGACGTGAAAGGGGTGCGAACTCTGTCACAGGTCGGAGCGGGAGCGGCAAGGCGAGGCCTGATAGCGGTGTTAGGGGGTAGAGAGAGGTTAAATCCCCTCCCAAGACCCCGACAACTGCACCCTGGAACCTCTGCAACTCGACACCCACGTCTGTGCCCCTCTCAGGGCCTCACAACCGGTCTGAGCCCCACACCCGCATCCCACACACACCTGACACCTTGTTCCCTCTTGTTGACACCCATACACCCAAGAACTCCCCGTTCTCCTCCACCTCTGCATCCTCAGCCTTGGGCCTCCCACTCTCGGGATCCTCTCACAGCTGAGTTTGCACCCCAACCCGTGTTTTCCCTCCCTGCCGTCCCCCTCACACTCCTGACACTGTGTCCCCACTCTTGGAAGCCCCCGTCACCTGAGGTATTCTGCCCCGACACCCCTACATGCTGGAGCTGTGCTCCCTCCCAGCCCCACAGCCAAACCTGTCATACGGCACACAGGCTCACTGACCCTTGTCACCTGGTCTGTGCTCCCCCACACTGGGCCCCT